TCGGTTCTGTAGTTTTTATTTGGGTGACCTCTACTGTCTTCTCTATAGAAGGGCGAGGTAGGTCTTCTATATGGATTGTTCTTTTGGTCGAGTCAACTATGCTAGCCAATCTGGATAGTGTCGGCCTTTGTATTTTCCGATCTCGGAATTTGCTGGAGATACCAAGAGTGGAAGTAGGGCAGGAGTTCCCTTATCTTAGCCAAGTAGGCCGACATGGAGGGATCCCGTGCCTCATACTCACCATTCACTTGGTTTACCACAAGTTGTGAGTCACTTCAAACCACGAGATGCTTGGCCCTGACCTCCTTCGCTAATGCCAACCCGGCTATGAGAATCTCGTACTCAGCCTTGTTGTTTGAAGCTCGAAACAAAAACTGGAGTGCATATTCCAGTTTCACCTAGCTAGGTTCGTAGAGTATCAACCCAACTCCGCTTCCACTCTAGTTAGATGAGCTGTCCACATGAAGTATCCAGGGCTCCTCATCCCAGGTAGCAGTAAGACTAAGAAAATAAACAAGTCACCCAAGAGAAGTAGATCGCCAAGAAATAGGCGTAGCAGCTCGCCTCGCAAGAAAAGCAAGTCTCCATCCAAGGGTTCAAACAAGCGATCTGGGACCCCGCCCTTGTATAATAGAACTTTCACTCCCGTGAATGCAAAAAATGGAGAAATTTTGATGCAGATAAAATCTAATAACTATGTAAAGTGGCTGCCTAGGATGAGGGGTGACCCAACTACCAGGAACCCCAAGAAGTACCTCCACTTCCATCATGATGTTGTCCATGAAACGGAAAATTGTTGGAATCTTAGAAACGAGATAGAAGACCTAATAAAAAGGGGATACCTGAGGCAATTCGTCAAGGATGAGCAGCAGCCTGAAGAGTTGAACAGAGAAGCACCCCAAGCGAGTAGGGAGCAAGAAGTAGCTCCCTGAAACCAATAGTAAGAGCGACCTATCCGGGGGTAATCAACATGATTACGGGAGGGTCAATAGTAGCAGGGTGCACCACCTCAGTAGGGAAGAACTCCATCAGAGAACTGGATCATGAAGATGACAACCCGCCAAAGCGCCCAAGAACAGAAGAAGTCATCAACTTTACTGAAGACGACATGTGCGGAGTACAGTATCCACATGACGGTGCTTTGGTAGTGAGGTTGTGAATTAATGATTTTAAAGTGAAAAGAATCTTAGTCAACTCCGGCAGCTCGGCTGACATCATATTTTTGGAGGCCTTTGAGCGCATGAAGCTCGGTAAAAAGGATCTCCAACCAGACGGCATACCCTTAATAGGTTTCAGAGGGGAAGTAGTTCAGCCAGTTGGCAGGGTGAGGGTTCTAGTTGAAGCGGGCTCGCCTCCTAACGCAGTTCGGTTTGATCATGTGGTCCCACCCCTCCCCATACAATGCCATATTGGGCTGACCTGTTCTACACACACTTTGGGTAGTGGTGTCAACCTATCACCAAGCAGTTAAGTTCCCAATAGAAACAGGCACCGGAGTAATACGAGGTGACCAACTGGAATCTTGCAAGTGCTACATAGCCACCCCAAAGGCAAAGGGCAAGATTGCCATTGACATTGATCTGGAGCCACCTCTTGAGAATGCAGATGAGCAAGCTCAACCTACCGAACAGACCATCCTGGTTCCGGTTTCAAAAACCGAGCCTGAAAAAATATTACAAATAGGAGCTCGCTTGATAGAACCAGTACGCTCTGACCTGGTAAGTTTTTTACTTAATAATCTATATGTGTTTGCCCGGTCTGCTTCCACTTCTCTTGGGTGACTTGTTTCTATCTCCCAGTGTAAGTCGGGGTGACATACGCCATTCTTAGCCACGGTGAAATGTACGATAGGATTCATATTTAGGATCTGCAATCATTCTACATTGAACCTCCTTATATATTCACGGAGGGTTTCTCCTTGTTTTTGAATTACATTTAATAGACATGTAGTTGATTTTGTGTGCCTTTTACTTGTTATGGAATGATTTATGAATAGATTGGCGAACTAGTCCCAAATCCCAATTTTTAGTAGAACTTGGTGCCAACCCAGAATACCATAGTCTGGCTTCTTCTCTCAGGGTGGTAGGGAAGGCGATGCACATGCTTGTGTCGTTGGCCCCATGGAAACATTAGGGCCTAGAAGCTGTCGGTGTGCTCTACTGGGTCAGTGGACCCCTTGTAAGTTTCAAGAATGGGCGCCTTGAAATTTTTTGGCCTTGGGGCCTAGAGAATCTCCGGTGCTAATGAAGATTCCCGGGTGTTGAGCGGCTGACCAGAAGAGGTCCCTACCTGGCTTGCCGCTTTGTTGTTGACCTTGCTTTCCGCTTTGTTGTTTACCTTTCTTTCTTCTTTGTTGTTCGCTTTGTTGCCTAGTGCTCCCCCAGATGGAGCAAGTTGGCTCTTCTTTCCTGCACGGTGAGCGCATCTTCTGTGCCTTCTCTTTGACCCCTTAGACGAACTGGCAACCTTAGTCTCGATGGGAGCCATAGGTCGACTTTCCACCGGTAGTTGGTTGTCTTTGTGGGCTGCGTTGTTGACACAGGGTTGGTTGTTGTCATGCCCAGGTGCCCTATTGAAGACCTGGACTTGGCTGTGGACCTGGGGTGGAACCGGATTGACATGGCCGATCTAATTTAGACTGGGATTCTGTCGAGGTACCTATTAACGATGCACCTGGTGTTGCTGTTGTTATTGTTGTTGCTGCCCCTCATCATGGAGGCGAACCTGCTTTCCTAAGACTTGAGTTGCTCACTCATTCCCTACACACATTGTACCAAATCATGGAAGTAGCGCGCGTCGACTGCCACAAGAGCCGCTGCAGCCTCGACTACAGTAGGAGGCGCGTTCACATTCTCTATAACAGCTGGGTGCAGGGGATGTCGATTTGGCCAATAGTGACAGTGGGGATTGGCCGTTGTTGTTGGCGGGCTGATTACTTGAGGATGCCATTTCTTAATTTTTGGAAGAGGTAAAAGAGAACTTAACTTTTGTTACTTTCCCATAGACAGCGCCAATTGATGATGCACGATCTGATAGCTTGCTCGTGTCTATTGACTCGGACTCTGATTCGGATGTTTCCTAATTTGGGCCGAGATGTGCTAGGCCGAACTGAAGGGTGACCGAGCTAATGTTGCACTACAAGAGAGACAGGGTTAGAGTGGGAGGGCACTTCAATGCTTAAGTCAGTAAGTGTTTGAGATTTCTTTGAGAGATTGAGAGAGCTTGAGAATGTATGATTGTGCATACCTTTCCAGGTAGAAGTGAGCGCCTTTTATAGGCGCCAGTGTGCAGAGCCCTCTTGTAATGGGCTTGAGCTCCTGGTGGAGCCGTTTCTGCTTTGTGAGGCAAGATAAGGTGTCAGTTGCGAGATCTCCGCAGGGCTTATGGTCTATCTGAGTAATTTCGAGGCGTGCGACACGGTAAGCTGTTCTAACGATCGAGGTATTGGTGCTCTTGGTAGCATACTACCGTCCTCACAGCTCGGCTGACTCTTAAGTCAGATCGTTGTAATCTTATGGGATCTACCAGTTCGACCTTGCCGAGATGGAGATCGGCTTGAACAAGATGCTCCAAGCTAACTTACTGAGCTGGTCTACTGATTCAATGCCAAGGTGTCATCCCGAGGCTATATGCCGTTGTACGATTGAGAGGACCAAATTATCCCTCATCATGGTTTATGTCCCGATTTATTCTTTCTTTGCATTGGTATTCCTGTAGGGACAATGTACCCAATTCAACAGGTTGGAGACAAGAGGGTTTGGTTCAACACATTAGTAAGCCACACTAAAAGGGCAGAAGATATGAGCATCGGCTATGTTGACTGAAGTACTTTCCTTGCAGAAGCCGTGGACACTTACAATCAAATTACAAATGGGAAGCCACCACGTGTCCTATTGATGTCTGTATGTAAATAGGTAATGGAGAACTCAAATCTCTTATGTTGGACGAGTATTAGGAAGTAGACCTTAGAATTTTAGTCTTTTTTCTTTTTAAATTTCCTCTTTTTCTTTATAGAGGTACTTTATAGAGGTACGCTATAGATGTCAGTTGTGTGACAGGTAGATATAACCGAACCGAACTGGGATGATTCTAGAATTGGGAGGATGACATTTATTTCACATGTTTATTTCCCTAACATTCCCTTCTTTAGGCTATGTTTGCTTTGAAGGAAAAGGTAAAGAAAGGAAGGGAAAGTCAGGGAAATCAATACAAGATTTGTAAAGGTTTTTCTACTTTTTCCTTCTTTTTCTTACATTTTTTTTCAAACCAAACATAACCTTAAGTTCGACATGGAGAGATGTAATATCTAACATGCTAAGAAGATAGTGAAATTGATCTAGGAGGATCCTTGTATCTTGTATACCCTCTTTTTTCTTCATTTTTAATAAATCATACCTTATCTTTTCCAGAAAAAAAAAAGATCAATACTAAGTGGTTTAGTGAATATATCAACTGGCTGGTGTCAAGTGAAAATATGAGCAATCTATATAGTATTTTTTCTGGACTCAGAGATTTTTGAAGTGAGAATCGATATAATTGTACATCATTAAAGTTGCTTACAATGATTTAAGATGAAAAAACCAAAAGAAAAAGTTGTTTACATCAATTTTCGATGTAAACTTTACATCTCAAACAAACAGCTGAAAAAGTGAACCGGGTGTAAAGTTTTACACCAGCCCACTTTTACATGGGAAACAAACGCGTGTAAATGCGAACCAATGGTGAAGTTTTATATCAATTTGCATTTACACCCCAATCGAACGCAGCCTTAGGAACAATAAGACCCTGACCCAATATAATTGGGTCAATTTGCTTTGTGTCTGTTGGGTCTGCCTAATCCGTTGACAACCCTAGTCATTTGTGTTTCATGGTAAAAGTAACCTTCATTACATAAGAATCCTTAATGCACAGCGTTTTTCTTGGCAGACAACAGTCTTATAAGTTCCTTCTTATTATCTTTTTTTTTTTTTCTTTTATCACTTTGAAATGAAATTCAATAATTCAGCAAAGCTAGTTTAAGCTAATCATGGATAATTACTACAAGTACAAATGGGATTAGAGAAAGAAGTTAAGAAATGGTGAAGTTAATGTATAGAACCAATACAAATTACAAATTCCACTCCATGTGAATCAACGTCAGTGGCCCAAAAACATCAAAGTGAGTGCCACAATTGCTGCTACACAGAGACTCAGATTGACATTGTTTGTTGGCTGATCACTTGGAAGAGCTAGCCCAGTAGATCCAACTCCATCAGCGGTGGCATCTCCTACAGGGGGTAGTGGTGGATCGATGACATCTCCCACAGTAAGTGATGGTGCTGGGGCACCAACAGGTGGTAGTGCATCTGGTGATGCCAATGCAAGCAGAGCACCAGGCTGAGCCGGGAAGATGGTGTAAGGGACATTAGCATTAAGATCAATACATGGACTTCCTGCAGTAATCAAGCAGGTCTACTAGTTGGTTACATGTACTTTAACCACGCGATCTATTGACTGTGTTATGAGTGCATTCTTTTCCTGACTGCATTTTCTAGTAAAATTTAGATTGCGAAACTTACTCGAATATGCCCTTGCAGTTGCTGGGTAATCAGTTACAACCCCATCTATTCCAAATCCTGCAACAAATGTCTGCAACTCCACAATTGGATCTGAGAACATGTCAATTGCGATAGTTGGGAATTCATTCATGAATACAGAAGTGAATACAGAAATATTGGAAAGTTGAAACGTGTCAACAACATCAGTGTACTTCACGGTGAAGGAATTTAATATAACTAGAGAGGAGCTTCGTGGGAGATTGACTATATCTGCAAACTTCTTGATTTCCTCCACAGTCTCCTTAGGTACACTGCTGATTATCTCATAAATGTGGAAGACTTTTTGGTAACTGGGCACATCCTTGAACTTTGAGAGCACTGCACTGTCATCTGACTGTATCATAACAACCTGGGTTTCCTGTTTGTCAAAACTGGCATTTCTCAAGGCACTGGCAACGATATCCACTATGTCAAAACCCTTTGATGCAAGGTAGGGAGCATTCTGAGAAACAGGAAAATGTCAACCTTCTTTGGATGTTAGTCTAATCTGGCATGTACAAGTACTGTTTGTAAATGTCATAGCTTGATGGCCTTATGCTTAATGCACATGTAAGGCAATGAGAACAACACTTGATGGCATCCCATCTATCTGATCCTCTATGCTGAAGTCCAATGATAAGATAATTATGATGATATTATCAACTCATGTTCAACTTCCCTAAATTGGAGGTGTCTAGGTAGGATCAATCATATGAAGCCTCAGACATGTATGATTATGAAGTTATAGCCTTTAACTACTACATTTAATTATTGATTACAAACCATCCCCATGTTAGTTAAAACAATCTTTTTTTTCTTTGTAAGGATGTTTGTTAGGTTTTGGCTTAGGAGATTTCTTACATTGCTGTCAAGTTGTGCATCTCTGTAATTTTTTATTCCTTGAGTAAAATCCACAAGTCAAGTAAAATAGTTTGTTATGTTAACAAGCTATAAACAGATTTTAGTTAGAGACCATTGTTTGGTGAAATGCAAAATCTCAGTACGAAAAGCATAAGATCACCAGTTTAGGTCTTAGAGCATCAATTTCACACAAAACTGCCCGAGGTTATATCTACATCCAGCCCATCCCTCCAAAGACCCAGATAAATAGGGATACATTGGTTAATGTCCTAGGTTTGTAAAGATTTCTTGTGCTCTTTCGTCTAGAAAATCTCTAAGATCATATAGTAGTAGCAATAGAAGGTTTTTTAGATTTGAAATTTATTTAGAGGGAATTCAATAAGCAACTTAAAAAAACTGAATGTATAGTCAAGGAAAAAGCTTACCTCTATGTCAATCATGATTCCAGGAACTGCCTTGGCCTTTGCAAAGTCCAAGAATTCAGGTAGCGTCAAGAACTTACCCTTATTCTTGTTTGCTGGATTTCTTGGCAAGGAAACACTGGGTACTGGGCTTCGCAGGTCAGCTGAAATGATAAAATTTCAATGTTATTGGGGTCTCTACAGCTAAGTAGATACAATATCTCTCTAACAATGATTAATTAATTTCTAAATTTCAATTTAGTCTTTTGTATAATGGTAATTCTACCAATTCAAATGCACATTATAATTATATTTGGTTAGCAAAAGTAAAATTAACTCAGAAGGAAAAAGAGAAATAAACAATGATATCCCTACAAGATGGTAAACGTAAGATAAACATCCACATATCTTATCTGTCAAAATGTTTCAGAACTAAACCAGGAGAACTAGGAGGTGCTTGATGAAGAAGCAGATACAAAGAAGGGGAACAACTGTAACAAAGAAAACCAAGGTATTGAGGTTCTGGAGCAGGTTATCACGAGGATCATCACATCACCAACTCCGGACCACTCATCCTACTAAAACTGCAGTACTGAACCATTACCAACTACATATTTAGTGAACCCCTAAAAAACTGATGCAACTAAATGATACTTTCCAAACACAAAAAACAGATGTGGTAGTAGCAACTCTATAATCTCACTCCAGCCATTTAGACACCACCACCCTCCTCTGAAGATGCAACTTGGTGAGGCTTGGATTGAGCTTTTGTTAAATTTTGAATGGACCTGGCATGAAGGCCTAAGCCCAATGTAGTGTAAATTCTTCAACTTGGTATCTGAGTTTCTCCCCTACCATCCCCCGTATGTCTCCTGTCTCATTCTCAAAATGTTATAACTATTTGCTTGCAGAGTTTTGTTTATAACTCTAAAGTCTTATCCCTCCAAGCATATGGTTGGCACATTCACACGCCTAATACCATTTCACTAAATGGAATTATCTTCTCCCTCATCCTCCATGCATTAGAAAAAAACATTTTTAATATGTTCAGTCTGTTTTGCCACCTTCTGTGAAACCTTGAGCAAAGAAAGAAAGTAAATGGGTATAGCTGCTAAAGCAATCAATGAGAGTGACCTTACCCAAGAGAGAATTATCTGTACTTCCATCCAGCCAGTTTCTTCTCAATTCTTTCCATGGCTAGTGGTCAAGACTGATACCTTGGATCAATCATCAATAATAAGGGAGAAAATAAAGAGGAGGTTGCCCAGATAATTAGAGCAGTGTGTTTGAAGTGGAGAGGTGCATCCACTGTTCTGTGTGACTAGAAATATATTATTGATAAAGGAAAGTTTACAAAACATTAATAAGACCAACATTGCTATATGAGACAGAATGTTGGAAAACCAAGAAATAACATGTTCCAGAATAAGTATAGCTAAGATGAGGATGTTGAGACAGATTAGAGCTGTAAATCAGGCTGTGCCACCTGCCTCCTGCTGCCTGACACGAAATTGAGCCAGACCAGCACAACAGTATGTAGGTCATGCTAGGCACGGCACGATGGAATGGGCCATGCCACCTGCAGCCCACATGCCGGCATGGCCCGGCCCGGCCCAGCACGGGCCATATATATATTTATATATATTATATATTATATATATGATAAATATATAATATATTAATATTATATATATATATAATTTTGTTTTCAATTTTATTATACTACATTGTATATATAAACAATTATATACATCAAATTTCATTTAAAATAAAAATTTAAACATTTTTTTCATTTTTTAAATAGGCCTCTCATAGCTTGGCCTAGTCTGCAGCCCGGCCTGGCCCAAGGCTCGGCCAATGGCACGGGCCTGCACGGGCTCGGGCCATGGGCCGTGCTGGGCTGATCCCCAAAATTATCCCAGGGGAGGGAGGCATGGCCCGTGGGCCAGCACGGCACTGCCTGCACTTTGCACAGGCTGCATGCAGGCCATGCCGTGCCGGCCCAGCATGGTCCGATTTACACCTCTAAGAAAGATGAGTGGAAATAATAGAAAGGACAGAACCAGAAATGAGCACATTGTGGAGGAATAACGAGTAGTTCCAATTAGTGACACGATGATGGAAAGTTAACTAAGATGGTTTGGTTATGTGCATAGCAACCAATGACTGCACCAATGAGGATTAAATTGGCACAAGTAGAAGGCTATTGATCAAGGAAAAGACCAAGAAAATGTGGTTTGAAGCAGAATAAATTGATTTAAGGACTTGTTGTTTGACAGAAAACATGTCTCTTGATAGAGCATAATAATAGCAGGACAGAATTCCTATAGCCAACCTCTAATAGTTGGGATTAAGGTTGATTTAAGTTGAGTTGCCAAGTTGATGAAAAATAGGTTTCAACACCAATAGGCAAACCCAAATATGTGGAAAGAAAATCACCTATCCGGCATTCCATAGCAGTAGCACATTCTTCAAGTAGCTGACCTCAAGATTCCCAAATTTCAATCATTACACTCTTACCAATATTCACTAAAGACCTGATAACACCTCAAAATTTTTGAGAATAGCCTTTTAGTGAATTCTTGTCCCACAAATATATTAAAAAATATGAAGGTATCATCATCATATTGGAGGTATGAAATTTATGGTAAATCACTTCCATCCTGAAACCAAAAAGCAAATGGACATTGATTCCCATGGAAAACATCACATTTTGGTTCTGTGTTGGTAGGCCTTTAACAACCATATTTTTCAGCATGCAAGAATTTTAGAGAGGATCAGTTTCTTTTTAGTTGACCCCATATAGTTGGGACAAGGCTTAGATAATATGATGATGATGATGATGATGATGAGAGTTGATGTCTACAATCTCCTACATGGGAATTCTTGGATGGATATCACCATGGAGTTGATTGGCACACTCTCCCTACTGTTTTATTTGAATCATGAGTTTGGGGGAGGGGCTCATGATGGATCCTAATTACAGACCACAAAATTGGCTAAAGTTTACAGTTTTACTAAAATTGATTCTTTTATTTATGCATGTTCTATGATACATCTGTACAATGTAGATATCTAGATTGGCATATATATATGCCAATAAATAAATAGAATGTATATATGTAACTATTGAAAAATGCAAGCATGTATGTGGTACTAATACTTCATATCTATAGATTACACAAAGGGCATCTAATTTTTATAACATGGAAAATATTAGAGGGGACTTTTTAAGAGTTTACGTTTCAAGCTTTGAATCTCGCTCCAAGTGAGGTCAAATGAAAATATCCCACTGTGTTGTTGGATTTCTGGGACAGAGGAAGTTCGAGACATAAAAGTAGTCATTGCAGTAGTATAAGCCATTAGGTCAGGTGATTCAGAGCAGAATGCTATTCCATCCTTTGTCATTTGGACTGAGCAATCTATTATGTCAGCTCCATCATCAACTGCTTGCTGATAAGCAAGATCAGTGCAGGGAGCAAAGACTCCACTAGCTCCATTGTGAGTTATGACCAAAACTTTACCTGAAAGGACAGAGGATTATAAATTTATATATTTATAATTTCCTTTCTACTCTTTACACCAGCACAAATACTATGGCCTTGAAAGGGCTTAAGATTGTTTATCACCTTTGTCAGGTCTGGTTTTGTTGTTATGCGCCAGGCAACCTGCAAGGAAAAGAGTAATCTGAAAATAGGAGTAGAAATGATGAAAAGAAAAATCTTTTCTTTTACATTTACTCTTTGGGTGGTAAACAATGACAGGATTTACGATTCAATATTAGGATTCAGTTGGCTTAACATAACAATCTGAAAAGAGAATATCAAAACCTTGTAAATAACTTGTTTATGGGATTGCATGTTCTTCGAAAGACCTGATCCTGATCTTGTGAAGGGTGTAACATGTTAGCAATGGGTAGACGAATTTTATCAATCAAAGGTATATTTCTAAGGTAATTAGCAGTTTAGAACCAGATCAGTCGTGAGAAAGTCTGATGATGTATGAAAGGATTCTGACCAGTCAAATGTATTCTTGTGGTTTTTCTGCTTATGTTTTCTGACTCCTGAGCATTGAAAGTATAGCAATGCATTAATTGGTTATTTAATCATTGGAAACAGCCTCTCTGTATGTGCAGGGGTAAGGCAGCATACATCTGTCCCTCCCCAGACCCCACATTGGCAGGACCCTTGTGCACTGGGCTGCCAGGACGACAGTTGGTTAAAAACTTCTCCTCCCAAACCCACTAAAGAGGTGTTTGTCAATGTGCATATTTTGTTTTCTAAAACAAAAAGAACTGGCACATGATCTTAATGTTGGGAAAAAAAAAGAAACATTTTCTATGTGGTGCTATACTTCAGGTGGATATTTTTAGGGTTATGGAATGAAATACTAAAGGTTAGTTTCTCAGAGATTCTATATAGCTATTGTGCCACTTAAATCATTTTCTGGAATATCCATTATTTAAGAAAGAATATAAATATGCATGGTGAAAGAATAGCAGCAAAATGTCTCACCAATGGCTTCCGAGGCAGTAGGAGGGAAGTCTGTAAGTACCCCATCAACAGAGAAATCAGGATTGTCGACGAACTGCAAGTACTCAGCTGTGGGATCATAGCTGTAGTTATAACTTCCTATCCCATCATTCTTGAAAGTACAAGCAAATACTAGTAATCCTTGCTTATGTGCATCTGTTACTAGGTTAGTGTGAGCCTCTAAATATTTTTGAGCATTGACAGGCCAAATGTATTCCTTGGGAACAAGAATCCCAGATGCAAAGGTCTTGATTTCAGGCAAATTTGACAAGATTGAACCATACTTTTGCTTTGTTGTGGGTTCAACTGCATCTGCTTCTAAGAACCGAAATATTAACTTTGTTGTGTCTGTGTTCAGCTTTCCATTGAGGTTCTTTAAGAAACCAATCTCAGGCGATGATATGTAATCGATACGCATATGTTTTAAAGCCTCCTCAATGTAGGCTTCTGCATTCAAGTTGTGCTGAACATAGAACATGTCATACTGCAACATACAGTACAGGCAGAAGAAAGACCTGATGTTAAATTTTGTAGATGATGAACAGACCATTCTCTTCAACTAAATATATATGCTTCTCCTTATTGCCTGTCTCTATTGAACTACATTTATGAATTGTTTCTCTAGAGACTAGGCTTAACTAATGAGATGAATATGAGAGAGAGAGAGAGAGAGAGAGAATATCTACATACCTCAACATTCAACCAGAACTTGGGGGGTCGAAGTCCTGTTACATCTTCAACTGTCATTATTGGTAGAGTCTCATCAAATATACTTGCTCTGGAGTAGACATTCTGAGACACTTAAAAGCACAAAGAAAATACACATAAAAGAAAGGTAGTTACTTTCAAAAGCAAACTCTTAGAAGAAGAATGCAAATTAACTAAATAAATAGGAAATACAAAATAATTTATGGTTGTAACTGTCTCCATTGCATGCATTTGTTCTGGGATATTGCTGGTTGTGTAAGAAATAGATAAAGGAAACGACAGCAAGCATGGTTGTAACTTCTTTGGTAACAAAAGCAATGAAAAGAATTTCACATATGCGCATGTACATGAATACATATCTCAATGCATCTATATTTGTAAATTTTCAGAAAAGCACCTGCTATCTACAACTGCAATTAAGAAGACTCTTATCCAGTAGGTTACTTTCCTTACTGGCAATGCCAGCTACAAACCTGTGGATAATACCATAGCAGGATAAATACCTATTTAATAATGATATGAACATTAAAAAAATGAAAGACTTATTAAATTTTGGATGGTTTATGTTAAGAATAATAATAACCAGAATTAACAATTAACTCTTGTGCCAAATGAGATTAGGCAAATATAGATAATGTTATTCAAGCATGATTTTTAGTGTCTTGCATTATCATTGAGGTGCCGTGGCTATGGTGATGGTTTGTAACATGAACCTGCCATGGAAATTCTCTTCATACTATAATAAAATTTGGGTGAAAGCAAAACCAAGGACTTTAGGCTGTTATGTTAGTTTGAGCATTTGAAACAATATAAAAAAAGAACCATATTTTGATCTCAATTGTAAATAGACACAGCTATAAGTTTCCATTATATGCACACAACACACACAGAGACAAGACAGAACAAAATCCTTTTTCCTGGAAGCCAAATTAGAGGAATCCTGAAACACTTACATGTTATATTGTTAAATAACTCCTCAACTGTAAAGTCCACTGCAAACCACCCACTAATATTTTTTCCATTCACATTGTAAGTTTTCTCCCCCTCGGGGTAGTAGGCAGATATAGTTGTTGAATTGTCAAGACGTAGTTCTGTCTGGCATATCCCATTTCCATCTTTTGTTAATTGTAAATCACAAAACAAAACCACATCAGATATGCTTGTTGATAGAGCAAATTGGTAGGCAAACTGACTGGACTCCGGAAAAACACCCGAAAATCCACCACGTGCTATCACTAAAGGTCTATCACCTGTAATAACATGTAAAATAAAGATCTTAATTCATGTAACAAAATATGGAGTCTTGGGAAATCTTAACAAGGATGAAATTGCAAACATTTGGAAGATCTTATTTACATCTGTTTTGTTTCCTGTGGTAAATTATAAACTGTATTTATAACTTTTCTGATAAATAATCCTGAAAAAAGGTTGGGCTTCCCCTAAATATTTTCACCAGTTTTATCTTCCTTCTTATTCTTTTTATCTTTGTTTGGATAGTGAACAGATTTCATTAAAAAAAACAGCAATATACATACAAATACAGCTCCCAGGGGAGGTAGAGTGTCCTACCTCAACCTATTACATAAATTACAGTTACAACTGTGCCCAATACATCTTTTCCTATGGATTTTTGTTTGAAATAAAAAATTAAAAGGAAAAGGAAATATTTAATGTAGATGTGAAGGAAGTGCCTTGTGAGAGTTACATTAGGTGTAAATGTGGAGGTTCCTATTCTAGCAATTTATCTCAGAACGAACAAAAAGAAAGAGAGAAAGGTCGCAAATCAAGCTGATGCTTCTGATACGATATAAAGGACTATACTGATTTCAAAAGGAAATATGACGCAACCACACTGCATTTACCTGGGAGAAGTTCCATTCTATTGTTATTGTATAATGGAAACCTCCACCTTATCAATGCATCTTAATAGATGGAATTATATTTTGTAAGACTAGAGAATGATAGAACTCCAATAAATAAATGATAGACTATTAGGAATTCTTATAAATATTCTTGCTCTTTTTTTTTTTTTCTGCTTCATCAAATGCAGAGATCAAACTATTTACAGGAAAATGTCATAACTTGAGTTGAACAGAATTCCACATATATATTTCATCCAAAAAATCTTTAAATAAAAAGAAATCCAGGATCAAGGACCCAGAAAAGCAGATATTAAATTCATTGAACGGGAAGAAGAATATAGATGCTACCATTGAGTGTCAGCCACTTCTGGTTCTGGGAAGGATCTTCTACATGTTTCTGTGCCAAAGCTGAGTGGATAAACAAGAAAATAAAGAAGAAACACCGTTCCATTTTTCTAATCCTGAAAAGCAGAGATATTGGCCAGAATAAAGCAAAAACAAATCAGAAGATTGATCCAGATAAATCTTAAAACAAGAGATCGCAAGTTCAATATTAATCAGTAACATGGAACAGTATCAATGACCTTAAATTGATATTCGCCTGATAATTTGTCTTATTGTATTATACCTATTAAACTAAAAGAATTAAAAGAGAAAAGAAGATTGAAAGAAGTAACCAGGCATTCCCTATCAAGTTTCACACAAATGGAGAAACTCTCAAGGGAAGTACAAAACTGACAAAGAGATTCAGGTCTTAATAACCCCCACATAATTTCCGCATTAATGGCTGGCAAGTTTCAAGGCTTTTATGGGTCTCCGCATTTGTTTCTCTTTGTCAGACTAAGTCTGTCCTGTGTTTCTTTTTTGGCGCCAGATGGACAGGTCAACCCGCAACCAACGGTTTGAAAACCAGACACATGATACCCATTTTTGCTAATGCCCTCTAGGTCAAACCCATTACAGACCATGGTTGATTGTGGTCTGATTTGTGAGGAAACAATGAAGAAGAACAAGAACAAGAAGAGATGATACGTACCAATCTAAAGGCTTGAGTCTGCAACACTCAAAGCCTCAAATGGGAAGAGAAAAGAGGGAAACGTTATTACATACAACTTCGGTGATTTTAAGAGTTCTAATTCTCAAAGACTGGGTTTTATTGGGTCCCATCTTTTCTTCAATTTCGTTGAAGACGTTTGTTTATGGTTTTTGGCGCCAGATAGACAATTCTACCCACAACGGCTTAACGGTTTTCTGAAAGAAAATTTACCCACAACAGTAAATGTGTTTTCTTTCAACGGCTTACCGTTTTTAATGCTAAAATTTAGGCTAATACTTTACTTTCAGTCTTTAATTAAACCAAACACATTTAACTCTGCTGAAATAATTCGGTTTTTCGCGGAGAATGAAGCGAAACCAACGGAAAAGATAAAAACACAGGAAATCAGTCAACGCTTTCATAGAATTTGGTCGGAAATTGACACAATTCCTGTCTGGTTTCATTTGCTGGAATCTCCCATGAGGTGAAGCTTTTTACTCTTGCTGAAAGTAGGGGTGTAATGGACCGGTTTTGGAATGTACCCTGTCCAAACCAAAATTGATTTGGAATGAATTGGACCAGTCCAGATTTGATGGTCCAAAACATTTATTGGATTGGATTGGACCCGATCCATCTGTAATGAATTTATATTGGATTGGGTTGGTTTGAGCCAAATAGTCAATATGCAATCCATTGATAGAAGACAAGATTATAGCTGTCAATGGACCAGGTTTGATTTAAAACCAATCTAAATTAAAACAAATTTGAGTAGATTGAATGGTTCAGACATTGAATTGGACCAGTATAAAATGGTCCAAATATTCATTAGATTGGATTGGACCTGGTCCATTCGTAATGGACTCACATTAGACTGGATTGGATTGGACCAAATTCAGTCCAATTGACACCCCTAGCTCAAACCTCCCCTAATGTTTAGTCATTGCAATCACTTCCCATAAATTCTTTGACCCAAATACACAGTTGCAAGTAGAACCCCTCTATTAGAATCCTCTAATAAAAGTCACAAAAAATGTCCAAAAATACCAATGCAACATGAAAAACAATACAAACTTTATAAATAACATAAAATAAATTTTAAAATTGCGACCTTCCCATTGAGGGATTGATATGAAAGGCAAATTTGGAAAATAAATCAATTTCAGAAAAGATATTGGAAAGGTTTGGGCTAGAGATTCATATAAAGAAGAGAAAATTTGGAAAATAAACATTTTGGTCAAAAGTAACTGTATGGATATTTTCAACATTTTCAATCCCCTTTTTAGAGAATTCCAACAAAGGGGATCTACTTGCAACTATCTCATAGAGTTCAGGGGAGCTGATTGCAATTACCAAACTTCACAAAAGGTTTTAGCAATGGCAGGGGATGTTTCAGAAATTTACCCTATATTTCACAAGGCCCGTGGATTTTTTTTTTGGTTAATAAGGCCCGTGGATTTGCATAAACCAATGTTGGGTTTTCCAACTTTAAGAAGTTCTGTTACATTGGACCTCGGCCTCGGGGCCATTTGAAATTTAGGCTTTAGTTGCAATGCAATTTCATTTATACTAGCATAAATGCATGCCTATAAGTGAGAAGAATGCAAATTCTGGTTCTTTTTGCTTTTGATTTTACTTTATTTTGCCACAAGTTTATTTTACCTCGCTTACAATTTAGGGTTAAGTACACTGCAACCCAATGCAGAATTTTAAATGACAACCTCTCATAGTCTACTAGTAGCCCCCTCCCCCTCCCCAATAAATCGCATCCTGCCTATGAATTTAACATCAATTTATGGTCATGATTCATAAATCCTATACGGTGGGACTAAAAAATTCTAACCTAAACTGATTAGTCATTCTCCCAACAATGACACAATAGATGAAACCAAAATAAATAAATAAAGAGTAAAAGACTTGAATGTATCCTGAGGTTTCAAAAATTGATTTAAACATACCCTAAGTTTTCTAAATGGACTTAAACAATGTCAAATTTCAGGAAATTTCAAATGAGACTTTTTATCTTTTGATACTACTATAAAAAATTAATTTTAGAGGCTTTAGGAGAGAGGCATTTGATAAAAGGTGCCTCTTTAAAAGCCAACCACGACGGTTGAGATGAATTCATGAAGAAGCGTTTGTAATGCCTCTATATTGTATTTCATGCCAGTAGGGGCATTTTCGATATTAACCACAATTTACAACGCTTCGATTCCTCGTGTCACGTTCCATTAAATTTTGATTTGTTATCCTTGGCTTCTGTTTTTTTTTTTAGAACTTTTCCCTGTCGGGATCTTAAAAACACACTCCGTTTCGTCAGTCGAAATTCCATGACCGATATTCAGAAAATTGCCAAACTCCGCCACTGATCCTAATACCTAACGAACTGAATCCTTGTCTTTTTGATATTAATGACCGAAGATCGACCCTTGAAGGAATCCAGCTATGACCCTTGAAGATCGACCGAAGATCGGGGATTTGAAGTCTCCTCTCAAGGTACTCCGATAAGACCTTATCGTCGACTGCTGCTGATCGTGTTCCTTTTGCAGTGTCGATGGGTGATGGAGGTGGTACAGATGAGATTAAACGATGGCGGGTGCGTAGGATAGGCATGGAAGCGTATCAGAAGAGGAGAATTATGAGAGGATGTTTACTTTGGGTTTGTTTATGAAGGAGATCTTTCAACCAATGACCCACCCATTCGTATGAGCGAAATTATTTTCTATTTGCGCGGGTTCAACCACCATCAAATTGACCTTGATCATAGTTAAATTTGAGTACGCCGATGTTTGACGATGACAGCCGTGGGAGACGACGATGACAACCGCGATCAGCTCTTGCAATCTCTGCTTGTACCAAACAGTTAATGTCGTTTTTATTCAGAAGCTAACACAATCTCTGGTCGCCAGAGAATAATTAATCAGGGAAGCTCTTCTATTCCATTAATCCAGAGGTGGTTGGCCTTAGTTAGCAGTAGGTTTTCTCTGTAGGTCTCGTATTTCTATCTAGTTCTTTAAGTTTTAGTTATTTCAAAGTTAGAATTTTTTACCTTTCATAATATCATCATCCTCTCCTTAATTGACTTGTATTCCTTCATTGAATGATTGCTAATGATCAAGTTTGGTAGGAATAAAAGGTCTATAGTGTTTCTACAGTACAAAATTAAAGTAGGATTATGGTATCCATTCTTGTAATTGTAATCAGTTGTGTCATGTTACACAATGTTGGCATTTCTTTATTGTGGGACAGAATTTGAAAGAGCTGCAGGACCCATTGATGCAAGGGTTTTAACAGAAACAGAGAATATGCTAGCTCGGGGTAGAACGGACCTTCCACTTACTCTCTGCTTTGCAGCATTTAGAGGAGATGATCTATTGTTGAATCAATTGCTAAGAAGGGGTTTGGATCCAAATGAATTGGACAACAGTGGGCGACATTTTTTCAGAAACTTTATTTTTTTCTAAATAATCCCTTATTTGGTGTTCTGTTATAATATGTCTTTAACTTTTAACCAGCACATAGCAGCATCAAAAGGAAATAAGAATTATTGTGGAGACCAAATCAGCCTCCCACAAGATTGCCCCCCACAACGTCCCACAGCACATATTCGCCGTGTATTGGGAATATCTCCCGATGATAATCCCAAAAATGATGATGTATCATCGGGAGATGTTTCCAATACACGGCGGGGATGTGCTGTGGGACATTGTGGGGGGCAATCTTGTGGGGAGCTGATTTGAACACATTATTGTGTGCTTCTTCTACTAGACCATGGGGCAGGCCCTAACAGTAGAGGTATCTTCTAACCATTAGCCAAATCCATTTAGAGGTCATTGAAATTCTGTTCCAGTGTCCGTTCTAGTGTCATTACTACAAATTGCAACAAAGGTACATGAAATTTGTTATCAACCACAAACAAAGTAGTTCTAGAGTAGCCACATACAAGAATAGATAAACAATGTTTTGTTTGTATTTTGGAATTGCAGGCTACCTTATATTTTTAAGGACATTACAACTAAAGTAATGACCTAAAAAATACTGTGTCAGGCGTATGTCAACATGGCCTTTAAAACAGAGACTCCTGTGTATTTTTTTACCTTAAACTTGGCAAACAATTTTTTGATAATGTACATTTTAGTATCAATATATAACAATTAATTGATAATATATCTTCTTTGGTTGCCCTCTGCAGCACAACCCCTTTCTTGTGCTCTTGCAACTGTCTCCCTTGGTCAACTATGAAGCCAACTATATGGAAATTAAAACAGCTCCCAGAGCAAATAGATACATCCACACACAGTAATTGTTTTTACCTTCTTTGGATGATAACAGTTGTCGATCTATGTCTTGCTTTTGGATGATAACGGCTGAAATGGATGAATTTTGGTAGTTGTGAGCTCTTTAATGACTGAAGCTTAGGTTGATTACTATAATTGTTTGTCTTCTAGAAAATAAAGAATAACTCATTCAGTTCTGCTACACCAGCTTTTATCAAAGTCCCTAACAAGAATGGGTTATGGGAATACCTAGTTGGATTGTAGCTTCTCTTAAAATGGCATGGACCGAAGTTGGTCTCAGTTGTGAACAACAGTGGGGACTGATAGTGCTAAATGTTTTAGTACTCTACCCTTTTTCATTTTGTTTTTTGTTTGTCTATTTGTCTTTTATTTATGCTTCTTGGAGTTTGTTTCTCAGACTGC